TATATATCATATCTTTAAGATTTTTTTTTAGAGTAATTTTTGAACACCAAGGTAGTAAATCGAATATGTATTATAAGAAAATAATTTTAAATTTAAATTAAAAATGTTATAAGAGACAATCACAGATATACTGAAATGGACTCACCTTTACCTTTTGCAATAATTAGGATAATGTTATATATTTTTTTTTAGCTCGTAATATAATTCAATATCGGACAAAAGCGAATAAATTTACTTTTGTTTTTATTTATGCTGTTTGTATAAAGTTTTCTTGATTCGTTATATTATAGTCTATAATTTTTTTTTCTACTAATTTGTTTTGTTATTAATAATTGCATTTTAATTAATATAATATACAATCGTTAAAAATTTTTAGACAAATTTTTATTCTATTTGTTTTAGAAAATAGGTCATGATTTGAGTAGATGTGGTCCTCTATTTATATTTCAATATGATTAATTAGCAAATTCTATCGCTGATAGAGAAATGTTGTGCATTAGATAAATGTCTTTTTTCTACTTTTTTATTGAACGGAATTCAACTAGTGTTATTTTGAGTACTTAGCGTTTATTAGAATTTTTTATATATATAATATATTAAAAACCGAAATATTAACATATAACAATAACATGTTTACCTCGTTTGAAAAAATTAAATTTATAAATTGGCATATTGTAATATGTAGCTGAAAATGTCGATAATCGGAAAAACAGTAAATACAAACATATTGTAATTATTGTAATATTAAAAAATACTTTATATATATATATATAAATATGTAGCATATAGATTATTTGATTATTGTTTAGATTGTTGTATAAAACACCACTTTTATTAGATCTTATTATTATTTTTTATTTAAATTTTATTGTTTTGTTCTAAAAAATTTGAATTTACATCCAGAATAGTTAAATCTTGTCAAAATAATACGTAGGCGCGTAGTAGTGATTCTGCGTAAAGCTTACATAATATTTTACTTACTACCTATTATTTATTGTATAGTATTTAAGTATGATATTTTCTTATGTTTTTTTTTTCGAGTTCGGTATCTACCATAAATTATTAAATTTTAAATTATATGTCGTTGATGTTTATAGATAAATAGACTAATACTTATTATAATTACTTTTATATATTATTATAAATGTAATTTATAAATTATTATAATAACAACGAAGTCGTAGCTATAAATATTATTATACTTTGACAATGAAATTGCGTATAGGTTCGTATTTATTGTTTATCAGTATGTATATGATTATACRCGTATGTAACTACGTATTTTGCTTGTTATACTGTATTATTATGTTCGATTTTTATTATTTTTTTTATTGATATATTTTATTTAGAATAGGAACCCATTAGTACAGAAAATAAACCGATGATCGAAAAACTTCTTAAAAACGTGTTATTCCGTTACCTTGTGTTCTTTGTTTTTTCAAACAATTAAAAGCTGGTTACATCATTAGAGGACAGTAYAAAACTACGTATATCACAAACGACTATAACAGTTGCATTTTTTGTCAGTTTTAATTGTTGCCTTGTGTTTAAATTTAAATTTTTTAAATAATGAGCAAGTATCAATCATGTAYCACACTGTAGGWACGCAGTATCAAATCGAAGCAGACCTATTATATAAAATAGAATCTTACTTTCGTGAACCTTACGAACAATTTTTCGGATATGCCATATACGTGATACGTTATTCCGAGTCCGATTTGTACAGAGCCGCATCAATATTTGTGTCGAAATAAAAAAGTTAAGTAGGAGGCATACCTATATTTTTTCCAAACAAATAAGCTAGGTATAAAAAATAAAAAAAACGAAAATAATATTGTATAAATTCATTATTGAATTATTACAGTTTAATTGTACTTATATTGTGATTCCAAAATTGTAAAATAATATTCAAACATGAAAATAAATGAAAAGTCACATTTTTTATAGCCAAAATAATTATTTAATTTATATAAAATTCGGACATTAATTTTACGTCCATATAACATCTGTTAAAACTATTCTTAATTATTACCAGTCTTTTCAACTTTTATTTTTTTACGTCGGTAAACCTGTTCACGATATTAATGGCACTTTAATTTTCGAAAATAGGTTTCTACTTAATTACGATTATTTCTGCCTAATATTATGATTTTTTAACACCACTCAGCTTAAATGTTAGAAGCTACCGCACTCGCCCTCGGGTGCAACATTTTCTAGAGCCGGCTCGATTTCTATATAGTATAATGCCATTTGTACCTATTTATTATTATAGTATATAGAATGCACTTTAGAAGGACTATTATGCATGGAAATGATATTCATTAATACTGTATTCATATTGATATAAWATCAAATAATGATAGCTAATCATAAATAAACGCATAAGGATTACGTTGAATAACTTACTGTATTTATTATAACGCATTTGGAATTATAGGTTTTTAGAATCACATCCTTATCTTCCAAAACACAGCCACGCATACCCAGTAAAATCGATATATTATTTTTCTAATTTAAAATTTTATCTCTCATTATATATTTTAACGTAAGATGTAATATTTTCTACGAATTTTTATCTATAAATCAATATGATATGTATCAAATATCGATTATTGGTAAGGCTCGTTATTAAAAAATATCATACAGATGTAAAGAAATAATATTATAATWCCRTTTGAATTTATTGTTTATTATAATATATTAATATAATTTTTTGTGCTTGTAGCTGTGTATCATGGTTATCAACGATGGACTGTACCGATCAAATAAACTTGTTTTAAACGAATTCGCTATACAATACAGACACACAATAATCTCAGTGACATAAATTAGTTAATATTTTTAATGAATCACATTAAACATTAACAAATTATGCCTTTGGGAAAAGATTTAATTATGGCGATGAAAGTATGAAAACTGTATGCAATGATTTACGCAATAGTACAATACGCAAAGCTGAAATTTTAATGCGTATCGAGCGAAATATATTCAAAAAAATACGCAATACGCAATAAGTATTATAATTTGTAATATCCACTCGTTTTGTGGCTATAAATTTGTTAACATTATCGACCAAAACTATGGCACGTTCGTTTTTTACATACTGTTAGATAAGTCATGTATTTATAATATACACGGGCCTAAGATGCACGTAATTCTGTTTTATCACAGGTAGGATGAAAATCAAGGTTATATGGTAATATTATACTACTTGTTGAAAGAGGCGTTGACAATAGTTACGAGAACGATAACATTTTTTAAATATAAACCAGCGCAAGCATAAAAGAATTTGTGATTTTTTTTTAATTTTAAATACCGAGACATAATGMTCCATAAATATACTTTT